TCCTAAGATCGGCCCTCATGGTCTCTTAGCAGCCCAGCTTTTGAGAAAGCAAACGCATTTTCGATTTCTGAGCAGGCGCCTCTTCGATTTCTGAAGCTCCATCGAGTGCGGATTTTTATAGAGGCTGGTATTAAGTTCCAAAGCACACTTGAATCTCCACCAGTAGAAGCTCCCTTCTTGCATTTCTAAGATCTTGATTTGTCCGACTTCTTTTCTCTTCAACACCTTTGAAAATGTCTGGCCCCTCCGACCGTCGTTTTGACTTGAACCTTGTTGAAGAGGCAGCCACGCCTTCTCTAGACAACATATGGCGCCCATCCTTCGTATCCCCTATTGGTCCTCTTATCATTGGGGATTCCGTGATGAAGAATGATATGACCACTACGGTGGTGGCCAGGAACCTTCTCACTCCCAAAGATAACAGACTACTTTCCAAACGGTCTGATGAGTTAGCTGTTAAGGATTCTCTGGCTCTCAGTGTTCAGTGCGCAGGTTCTGTGTCTAATATGGCCCAACGCCTATTTGCTCGAACCCGCCAAGTTATTGGCGGCTGAAGTGATGAGTCTCAAACAGGAGATTAGAGGGCTAAAGCATGAGAATAAACAGTTGCACCGGCTCGCTCATGACTATGCTACAAACATGAAGAGGAAGCTTGACCAGATGAAGGAATCTGATGGTCAGATTTTACATGATCATCAGAGGTTTGTGGGTTTGTTCCAAAGGCATTTATTGCCTTCGTCTTCTGGGGCTGTACCGCGTAATGAAGCTCCAAATGATCAACCTCCGATGCCTCCTCCTTCTAGGGTGCTGTCCAGTACTGAGGCTCCGAATGATCCCCCTCCGGTGCCTTCTCTTTCTGGGGCTCTGCCGACTGCTGAGACTTCTCCTAAGCAACCTTTGTGAAGGCTCCCTCTTGTTTGTTTATTTTGACTCGTGTATATGTACATATTTGTAACTTCTTAGAGATATCAATAAATAAGCTTTGTTTCATTTCAACGTATTGTGTTAAATACACCAAAGCTTTCTTCACTAAGTTCTTTGAATTTTTCTTTTGTTGAAGCTTGTATGTTGAAGCTTTGTGAGTGGAGCATGTAGGTTGAGGTAGTGTTCCCTTAATTTCCCGGGTGGGGAAAACTTCTCGATTGGAGACTTGAAAAATCCAAGTCACTGAGTCAGGTCGGCTATATGAATCTTAGAACGCCATTGTGCTCGATCCTGTGTCATGTCCTCCGTTAGATCCAAGTACTCTAAGTCTTTTCTTAGAGTCTCTTCCAAAGTTTTCCTAGGTCTTCCTCTACCCCTTCGGCCCTGAACCTTTGTCCCGTAGTCGCATCTTCTAACCGGAGCGTCAGTAGGCCTTCTTTGCACATGTCCAAACCACCGTAACCGATTTTCTCTCCTCTTTCCTTCAATTTCGGCTACTCCTACTTTACCTCGGATATCCTCATTCCTAATCTTATCCTTTCTCGTGTGCCCACACATCCAACGAAGCATCCTCATCTCCGCTACACCCATTTTGTGTACGTGTTGGTGCTTCACCACCCAACATTCTGTGCCATACAGCATCGCCGGCCTTATTGCTGTCCTATAAAATTTTCCTTTAAGCTTCAGTGGCATACGATGATCACACAACACGCCGGATGCACTCTTCCACTTCATCCATCCAGCTTGTATTCTATGGTTGAGATCTCCATCTAATTCTCCGTTCTTTTGTAAGATAGATCCTAGGTAGTGAAAACGGTCGCTCTTTGGTATTTCTTGATCTCCGATCCTCACCCCTAACTCATTTTGGCCTCCATTTGCACTGAACTTGCACTCCATATATTCTGTCTTTGATCGGCTTAGGCGAAGACCTTTAGATTCCAACACTTCTCTCCAAAGGTTAAGCTTCGCATTTATACCTTCCTGAGTTTCATCTATCAACACTATATCGTCTGCGAAAAGCATACACCAAGGAATATCATCTTGAATATGTCCTGTTAACTCATCCATTACCAACGCAAAAAGGTAAGGACTTAAGGATGAGCCTTGATGTAATCCTACAGTTATGGGGAAGCTTTCGGTTTGTCCTTCATGAGTTCTTACGACAGTCTTTGCTCCTTCCTACATATCCTTTATAGCTTGGATATATGCTACTCGTACTCATTTCTTCTCTAAAATCCTCCAAAGAATGTCTCTTGGGACCCTATCATACGCTTTTTCCAAATCTATAAAGACCATGTGTAAATCCTTTTTCCCATCTCTATATCTTTCCATCAATCTTCGTAAGAGATAGATTGCCTCCATGGTTGAGCGCCCTGGCATGAACCCGAATTGGTTGTCCGAAACCCGTGTCTCTTGCCTCAATCTATGCTCAATGACTCTCTCCCAAAGCTTCATTGTATGACTCATTAGCTTAATACCCCTATAGTTTATGCAATTTTGTACGTCGCCCTTATTCTTGTAAATAGGCACCAAGGTGCTCTTTCGCCACTCGTTTGACATCTTCTTCGTTTTCAAAATCCTATTGAAAAGGTCAGTGAGCCATGCTATACCTGTCTCTCCCAAGGCTTTCCACACTTCAATCGGTATATCGTCTGGGCCCACTGCTTTTCTATGCTTCATCTTCTTCAAAGCTACAACCAGTTCTTCCTTCCTGATTCGACGATAAAATGAGTAGTTTCTATACTCTTCTGAGTTACTCAACTCCCCTAAAGGAGTACTCCTTTCATGTCCTTCATTGAAAAGATTATGAAAATAACCTCTCCATCTGTCTTTGACCGCGTTCTCTGTAGCAAGAACCTTTCAATCCTTATCCTTGATGCACCTCACTTGGTTTAGGTCCATTGTCTTATTTTCCCTTGCTCTAGCTAGTTTATAGATATCCAACTCTCCTTCTTTGGTATCTAGTCGCTTATACATATCGTCATAAGCCGCTAACTTAGCTTCTCTCACAGCTTTCTTCGCCTTTTGCTTCGCTCTTCTATACCTTTCACCATTTTCATCGGTCCTATCCTTCTATAAGGCTTTACAACATTCCTTCTTAGCCTTCACCTTTGTTTGTACCTCCTTATTCCACCACCAAGATTCCTTTTGGTGTGGAGCAAAGCCCTTGGACTCTCCTAATACCTCTTTTGCTACTTTTCGAATACAGCTAGCTATGGAATCCCACATTTGGCTAGCTTCCCCCTCTCTATCCCACACACACTGGGTGATTACTTGCTCTTTGAAAATGACTTGTTTTTCTCCTTTTAGATTCCACCATCTAGTCTTTGGGCACTTCCAAGTCTTGTTCTTTTTTCTCACTCTTTTGATATGTACATCCATCACCAACAAGCGATGTTGATTAGCCAAGCTCTCTCCCGGTATAACTTTGCAATCCTTACAAGTTATACGATCCCCTTTCCTCATTAGAAGAAAATCTATTTGTGTTTTTGACGACCCACTCTTGTAGGTGATCACATGTTCTTCTCTCTTCTTAAAGAAGGTGTTAGCTAAGAAGAGATCATATGCCATTGCAAAATCCAAGATAGCTTCCCCATCCTTATTTCTCTCCCCAAAACCATGGCCACCATGAAAACCTCCATAGTTGCCTGTCTCCCTGCCCACGTGTCGATTTAAATCTCCTCCTATAAATAACTTCTTCGTCTGGGCAATTCCTTGCACCAAGTCTCCAAGGTCTTCCCAAAATTTCTCATTCGAACTCGTATCCAACCCTACTTGAGGTGCGTACGCACTAATCACATTGATGAGTTCTTGTCCTATTACAATCTTGATTGCCATGATTCTATCTCCTACCCTCTTGACATCTACAACATCTTGTGTCAAGGTCTTGTCCACAATGATGCCAACACCGTTTCTCGTTCTATTTGTGCCCGAATACCAAAGCTTAAACCCTAAGTTTTCTAGATCCTTTGCCTTAAGACCAACCCACTTAGTTTCTTGTAGGCACATAATATTTATCCTTCTCCTCACCATAACTTCCACTACTTCCATAGACTTTCCCGTTAAGGTTCCTATATTCCACGTTCCTAAACGCATTCTACTCTCTTGAACTCTACCCTTCTGTCCTAGCTTCTTCACCATCCCCCGTCTAATAAGATCAAAGTACTTCTTTTGTGTGTCCTGTGTAAAGTTGATAGGAGCATATGCTCCCAAACAACTTTGAGTGGAGTCGTTCGAAAAGAAGTTTCTATGGCCCCCTTGCTCATTTAACACTGCATCCGGGTGCCGATGGAGATACAGCGAACCCTTGCTCACTTATCACTGTGCTCGGGCCACACAGCGCGCCACTTACGGGTGACGTCCTAGCTTTAGCGCGATTTCGTTCTGGATTCATTGTCATAAGGATTCGACGTAACTGTGGAGTGCCGACTGTCGACTACCTGACGCCCTCCCCTTCCTCCTTTATCCGGGCTTGGGACTGGTAATGTAAGATAAACTTACATAGGCGGAGTTGTTTTGAATAACTTATAAATACAAAAAATTATCATCCGTGATATCAAAACACTAGAGTAAAGTTTTTTTTTCACTTCCAAGACAATGAGTGGCAAACCTTTCAGTTACCTCAACAAAAACACCAAAATAAGTGATTTTCTTGATGCAGCATTTCACAACATCTCCAACTTGAAGTTTTGCCTGCCATAAGAATCAATATAAGAGATTGAGACAACATATTGCATACTCGGAATTGCACAATAAGCTTTTGAAGAACATGGACTTCAGAGACTTAATATTTTAGGTATAAGATTGCTTCTCAGTTATTTGAGAACCACCCATGTAAAAGAGATTTTTCAGATCAACTTATACATATATTAGGATGAAATAATAAATCCCAATTTTAGGAGTAAAGGATAGGAATTCACATAGGAGAATTATAACATATAGCATACACCAGAAATCATTTTAATTAAACTCCATAGACCAACTCAAAATGATACTACAAAACACTGATTTCTTACAATCAGCTTTGGCAAGATTTTTATATTTATTAATATATTTCTAGTTTGCAGCTGTGACACTTATCCACCACCCTGAACAACCAAATATTGTAGTCTTCCAACTCTGGAAATAGAGGTTACCAAATACTGTAGCTTAAAAAGAATAATCAAAATGAAAGGAATAACAAACAGCACCATTCAAGATACATCACAAATGAAGGTGGCCTCTCACCATAAGACTTCTTTTTCTCTCAACCGACTCTTCCTTCTCTTTTGGCCTCACTGAAAATACAAGCTTCCCAAACTTTCTGTTGGTCAACACCAATTGTACTCTGATTTTCTACAAAATTCAGTTTCTAAAAATTAATTAAAAGGAATAAAAGATGAGAATAAAGTTTCCAAATGCAGCAGTCAATCTTCTCATTCAGGTTCTTCAAACCTGGCCAACAAATGATGATAAGAATTTGATTTTCTCTTGGTCATAAATTCTAAGAAGATCTTCCAATCTCATATCTGGTGAAACTATTGTCTCGTTTTTCGCGTCTGCATCAGGATCTTCTAGGCTTGGATTAGGAAGAGTATTCGTATCAATAATTCCTAGATTTCGTCTGTACAATGACGGGTCTAAGCCCTTCTGTCTCAACCATGACTCAAAAGCTAAGAACTTCCACTTGGAAGAAAGATTACGGTATGGCAGAAATCCAATTAACGAGCGGAAAGATACCTGTCATAAAGGTCAAATCAAACTCAGAAAGCTCAGATGGAAAGTATATATAGTTAACCACAAACACTAAAGAACAAATGAAAGCCTATGAAATGACTGTCCAAAGTGTACTTACAAAAAACCTCTGGTGCTAGCACTTATCAGTTCTACATCTCCCCTATCTCCTTTTTTTAACCAGATTTTCAGCCATAACCCAATCAGCATCTTCATAACCCTATAGATTTGTAGAGAATGAATTTTTTGTAACAGAACAACAACAACAACAACAAAGCTTTTTCCCACTAAGTGGGGTCGACTATGTGAATCCTAGAATGCCATTGCGCTCGGTTTTGTGTCATGTCCTCCGTTAGATCCAAGTACTCTAAGTCTTTTCTTAGGGTCTCTTCCAAAGTTTTCCTAGGTCTTCCTCTACCCCTTGAGCCCTGAACCTCTGTCATGAGTCACATCTTCGAACTGGAGCGTCAGTAGGCCTTCTTTGCACATGTCCAACCCACTCATTCCTAATCTTATCATTTCTTGTGAGCCCACACCTCCAACGAAACATCCTCATCTCCACTACACCCATTTTGTGTACGTGTTGATGCTTCACCGCCCAACATTCTGTGCCATACAGCATGGCCGACCTTATTGCCGTCCTATAAAATTTTCCCTTGAGCTTCAGTGGCATATGACGGTCACACAACACGCCAGGTGCACTCTTCCACTTCATCCATCCCGCTTGTATTCCATATATTCTGTCTTTGATCGGCTTAGGCGAAGACCTTTAGATTCCAACACTTCTCTCCAAAGGTTAAGCTTCGCATTACCCCTTCCTGAGTTTCATCTATCAACCCTATATCGTCTGCGAAAAGCATACACCAAAGAATAACATCTTGAATATGTCCTGTTAACTCATCCATTACCAATGCAAAAAGGTAAGGACTTAAGGATTGTTGATGCACAAAATCAGTGAGGACTTGGGTACAACATAAAGTATTAAGTTTGTGACCTTCGCTAGATTGCTCCGGTTATTAGTATGGATAAGTATGTAGAAAGATAGAGACAGGAGAGCAAACATAAGATGTACGTGGTTCACCCAGATTGGCTACGTCCACGGAGTAGAGGAGTTCTCATTAATTGTGGAGGGTTTACACAAGTACATAGGTTCAAGCTCTCCTTTAGTGGGTACAAGTGAATGATTTAGTACAAATGGCATTAGGAAATATTTTGGGAGAATGATCTCCTTTTATAGAAGAGAGTTTCTAGCCTTGTTCTGACATTGACACGTGTCGTGTTGTGATTGGCTTCCGATGTTGACACGTGTCGCGCTATGATTGGCTTCTGATGTCGACACGTGTCACTCTGTGATTGGCCTCCTAGTTGGAGGGAAAGCTTCTCGGTTGGGGACTTGCAAGATCCAAGCCACTAAGTAATCACGAAACTTCTAAGTACCGAAGTGTGGTATCGTCTTCACTTGCCTTATTTGTCTCATAGGTAGATGTGGCATCTTCTCTGGAAGTACTCTTCCTCTATCCAGGGGTGGTATCTTTAACTGGTGGAGATGCACAAGGTAATGTATCAATTTCACTTGAAGCTTACTTATAGTTTCAGGCTTGGTCAAGTGTGATACAAACCATGTAGTAGGAGTCCCCCAAGTCGCCGAGCTAGGGGATCTGCTGAGAGAGGTGACAGACAAGGTAAGCAATCAGAGCTCCAAGCAATCAGTCCCAGATCAGAAGTTTGATTTCGAGTTCCGGCTGATTGTTCTCATTCTCCTTATCTTGCAGGCAACATAAAGGATAAAGAGAAGAAAAGGAGAAGAGCTGATATGAGGTACTTTTGCTTTTGAAAAAGTAATTTTCCATAGGCTTATTCTTGAACTAGGCTGGAGAGTTTTCTGGTTACCTCCAAAGTATAAGGCCGACTGAAGAATTTGAGGGTCAAAACAAGTCCATCAAATATAGAGTACGTTCGACCCTGCTGATATAAGATACTTTTGCTGTTGACAAAGTAATGGAAGTATCGGCACGTGTTCTATTACGCTTGTCTCCATATGCTTCCTTGTATCCTTCTCACTTGCCCTATCTGTACCTCAGACAGATGTGGTATCTTCTCTGGAAGCATAAGATGTTGAAGATGAGTACTCGAGAGTTATGCCAGGTAAGTAATCAGGTAAGGGGTTCCAGGCAGTCAGTTCCTGACTGGAAGCTTGATTCCAAGTGTTGACTGATTACTCTCTTTCTCCTTATCTTGCAGGTAAGAACAAGGCCAAAGGAAAAGACAGGAAAAAAACATTATATGGGATACGCTTGCTTTTAACCCTGATGATATGAGATATTCTTGCTCTGGTGTAGCTTGTTTGCAGAGTATTTCGAGAGGCTTCGTTGGGAGTGCCCTCTTAGATATGAGGAAGGGTTGAGCATTTTTGCAGGTCTACCTGTCCGTTGAGGATGAAGGTCGACATATATAGGAGTCTCCCTAACAACAAGTAGTAATGCTATACCTTTACCCTTCTTAGTCATAGCACTGTAGTGGGAGCTGCCAGCTTCACGTGTTTTAACTCTGTCAGAGTACTTTGAAAAAGTGGTCTGTGGTATCTGGAAAGCTGATGTTGCGTGTGAAGATTACAGACAAGCTTTATCCAAGAAGATCTGACTCTTGAAGTTGAGAAAGCGATGCCTCTTCGGTTTTCGAACAAGCGATCTTGTCAGGGATCTGGCTCTCGAGATTCGGAGAACGGTGCCTTTTCAATTTTTGAGAAAGCAATCCTGCTGGGAGTCTGGCTCTTGAAATTTGGAGAGCGGTGTCTCTTCGATGTTTGAGAAAGTAGTCCTGTTGGAAGGCTGGCTCACGATTTGGAGGGCGGTGCCTCTTCGATTTTGGAGCAAGCAATCTTGTTAGGAGTGTTTTCTCGAATGTGAGTAAAGGTTGGGCATTTTTGCAAGTCTACCTTGCCACGGAGCACAGAGGTTGACACACAGGGACTTTCCAATTATCCTGCAGTGGTGCTGTTCCTTTACCCTTGCAGGTAATAATATGGTAGCTAAACCTTCAAAATTTATGTGTCTAAACTTTGTTAGTGCTGTTTCTTTGCTATTCTTTTACCCTTCTTGATCATAGTGATGTAGTGGAAGCTGCAAGCTTCACGTGTCTAAACTTTGTCAGAGATCTTTGGCAAAGTTATCTGTGGTACCTATGAGCTGATGTTGCGTGTGGAAAGTGGATGATTGAACAGTAAGATTCACGTGCTTTCTACTTCACTAGAAATCTTCTACAGATTGCCCGTAATTTCCGCAAAGCTGAGTGTGCATGTGACAGGTGCTGACAAGGCTGAGAAAGCAGGTGCCTCTTCAATTTTTGAGATCGGCCCTCGTGGTCTCTGAGCAGCCAAGCTTTTGAGAAAGCAAACGCCTCTTCGATTTTTGAGATCGGCCCTCGTGGTCTTTGAGCAACCCAGCTTTTGAGAAAGCAAACGCCTCTTCGATCTTTAGGATCGGCCCTCGTGGTCTCTAAGCAGCCCAGCTTTTGAGAAAGTAAACGCCTCTTCGATTTCTGAGCAGATGCCTTTTCGATTTCTGAAACTCCGTCGAGTGCAGATTTTTATAGAGGCTGGCATTAAGTTCCAAAGCACACTTGAATCTCCACCAGTAGAAGCTCCCTTCTTGCACTTCTAAGATCTTGATTTGTCCGACCTCTTCTCTCTTCAACACCTTTGAAAATGTCTAGCCCTTCCGACCGTCGTTTTAACTTGAACCTTGATGAAGAGGCAGCCACGCCTTCTTATCCCCTACTGGTCCTCTTACCGTTAGGGATTCCGTGATGAAGAATGATATAACAGCTGCGGTGGTGGCCAGGAACATTCTCACTCCCAAAGATAACAGACTTCTTTCCAAACGGTCTGAGGAGTTGGCTGTTAAGGATTCTCTGGCTCTCAGTGTTCAGTATGCAGGTTCTGTGTCGAATATGGCCCAACGCCTATTTGCTCGAACCTGCCAAGTTGAATCATTGGCGGCTGAAGTGATGAGTCTTAAGCAGGAGATTAGAGGACTCAAGCAAGAGAATAAACTGTTGCACAAGCTCGCACATGATTATGCTACAAACATGAAGAGGAAGCTTGACCAGATGAAGGAATCTGATGGTCAGATTTCTTGATCATCAGAGGTTTGTGGGTTTGTTCCAAAGGCATTTATTGCCTTCGTCTTCTGGGGCTGTACCACGTAATGAAGCTCTAAATGATCAGCCTTCGATGTCTCTTTCTTCTTGGGTTCTGTCCAGTACTGAGGCTCCGAGTGATCACCCTCTGGTGCCTTCTCTTTCTGGGCCTCTACCGACTGCTGAGACTTCTCCTAAGCAACCTTTGTGAAGGCCCTCTCTTGTTTGTTTATTTTGACTCATGTATATGTACATATTTGTAACTTATCGGAGATATCAATAAATAAACTTTGTTTCATTTCAACGTATTGTGTTAAATACACCAAAGCCTTCTTCACTAAGTTCTTTGAATTTTTCTTTTGTTGAAGTTTGTATGTTGAAGCTTTGTGAGTGAAGCATGTAGGTTGAGGTAGTGTTCCTTTAATTTCTTAAGTGAGGAAAACTTCTCGGTTGGAGACTTGAAAATTCAAGTCACTGAGTGGGGTCGGCTATATGAATCTTAGAACGCCATTGTGCTCGATCCTTTGTCATGTCCTCCATTAGATCCATGTACTCTAAGTCTTTTCTTAGAGTTTCTTCCAAAGTTTTCCTAGGTCTTCCTCTACCCCTTCCGTCCTGAACCTCTATCCCGTAATCGCATCTTCTAACCGGAGCGTCAGTAGGCCTTCTTTGCACATGTCTAAACCACCATAACCAATTTTCTCTCAGCTTTCCTACAATTTCAGCTACTCCTGCTTTACCTCGGATATCCTAATTCCTAATCTTATCCTTTCTCATATGCCCACACATCCAACGAAGCATCCTCATATCCGCTACACCCATTTTGTGTACGTGTTGATGCTTCACCGCTCAACATTCTGTGCCACACAGCATCGCCGGCCTTATTGCCATCCTATAAAATTTTCCCTTGAGCTTCAATGGCATACGGCAGTCACACAACACGTCGGATGCACTCTTCCACTTCATCCATTTAGCTTATATTCTATGGTTGAGATCTCTATCTAATTCTCCGTTCTTTTGCAAGATAGATCCTAGGTAGCGAAAGCAGTCGCTCTTTGGTATTTCCTGATCTCCGATCCTCACCCCTAACTCATTTTGGTCTCCATTTTCACTTTACTTGCACTCCATATATTCTGTCTTTGATCGGTTTAGGCGATGACCTATAGATTCCAACACTTCTCTCCAAAGTTTAAGCTTCACATTTACCCCTTCCTGAGTTTCATCTATCAACACTATATCGTCTGCGAAAAGCATACACCAAGGAATATCATCTTGAATATGTCCTGTTAACTCATCCATTACCAACGCAAAAAGGTAAGGACTTAAGGATGAGCCTTGATGTAATCCTACAGTTATGGAGAAGCTTTCGGTTTGTCCTTCATGAGTTCTTACGGCAGTCTTTGCTCCTTCATACATATCCTTTATACCTTAGATATATGCTACTCATACTCCTTTATTCTCCAAAATCCTCCAGAGAATGTCTCTTGGGACCCTATCATACGCTTTTTCCAAATCTATGAAGACCATGTGTAAATCCTTTTTCCCCTCTCTATATCTTTCCATCAATCTTCGTAAGAGATAGATTGCCTCCATGGTTGAGCGCCCTGGCATGAACCCGAATTGGTTGTCCGAAACCCGTGTCTCTTGCCTCAATCTATGCTCAATGACTTTCTCCCAAAGCTTCATTGTATGACTCATTAGCTTGATACCCCTATAGTTCATGCAATTTTGTATGTCGCCCTTATTTTTGTAGATAGGCACCAAAGTGCTCTTTCACCACTCATTTGGCATCTTCTTCGTTTTCAAAATCCTATTGAAAAGGTCAGTGAGCCATGCTATACCTGTCTCTCCCAAGACTTTCCACACTTTGATCGGTATATCATCTGGGCCCACTGCTTTTCTATGCTTCATCTTCTTCAAAGCTACAACCAGTTCTTCCTTCCTGATTCGACGATAAAAGGAGTAGTTTTTTACACTCTTCTGAGTTACTCAACTCCCCTAAAGAAGTACTCATTTCATGTCCTTCATTGAAAAGATTATGAAAATAACCTCTCCATCTGTCTTTGACCGCGTTCTCTGTAGCAAGAACCTTTCCATCCTCATCCTTGATGCACCTCAGTTGGTTTAGGTCCCTTGTCTTCTTTTCCCTTACTCTAGCTAGTTTATAGATATCCAACTCTCCTTCTTTGGTATCTAGTCGCTTATACATATCGTCATAAGCCACTAACTTAGCTTCTCTCACAGCTTTCTTCGCCTCTTGCTTCACTCTTCTATACCTTTCACCATTTTCATCGGTCCTATCCTTGTATAAGGCTTTACAACATTCCTTCTTAGCCTTCACCTTTGTTTGCATCTCCTCATTCCACCACCAAGATTCCTTTTGGTGTGGAGCAAAGCTCTTGGACTCTCCTAATACCTTTTTTGCTACTTTTCGGATACAACTAGCCATGGAATCCCACCTTTGGCTAGCTTCCCCTTCTCTATCCCACACACATTGGGTGATTACTTTCTCTTTGAAAATGGCTTGTTTTTCTCCTTTTAAAATTTCAAGCACAAGATTAATTTGACAATCCTAGCTGAAGAAATTCTGTAACGCAACATAAAGTAGTATCTATAAGGGAATCATCCTTTTGACCAGGACCACCTTTGGATTCTTCAAGATTGTTACATATTGTGTTAGATGCTGTAAATTCGGACAAATCCTTGGAGCTATCATTATCTTCAACAGCATCAGCCATACTAGATTCGCCATTCTCAGAGTGCTCACTATCGTCTTCACTTTATGAAAACCCATTTCTTCTTTAACAGATTTGTTTAATCTATAAGAAAACAACCTGCTAATCAAGCAAAATATAAACTTAGGGTGGAGATATAGATATATGAAAACCCATTTCAGTTACCTTTTTGGTTTTCCTTGTATTGCAGTGTCTATCGACAAGTCAACGTCAGAAACAGGTAAGTTTGTACCAGATAGTTCACTCGAAGCAGATACCTCATCACCGGACTCCATATTGCTCTGCTCATATGGCTGCAATCCTTAAAATTTCAAGCACAAGATTAATTTGACAATCCTAGCTGAAGAAATTCTGTAAAGCAACATAAAGTAGTACTTATAAGGGAATCATCCTTTTGACCAGGACCACCTTTGGATTCTTCAAGATTGTTACGTATTGTGTTAGATGCCGTAAATTCGGACAAATCCTTGGAGCTATCATTATCTTCAACAACATCAGCCATACTAGATTCGCCATTCTCAAAGTGCTCACTATCGTCTTCACTCTTTGTTTTGACGCAATTTGCTTTGGGTTTTTCTAATAGCGTAAAACCATGAACTTTATCATTTTCTTCTTCCCTCCACTTCTCTATTTCTGCATTACCAATGATATTCTTATTTGCATCACTAGATTGCTCTTGTTTATTTTCGCTACTTTCATCAACACTCACCGGTTGGGGCTTTCTCAACAACATCATATCACTAAATTTCTCCTTTGGTTGCTCAACCCTCATCTTCAACGACAAATTTGGTTTAATTCTCAACCTCGAAAGAACATCTTCAATGTCATCCTCATTAAACAAACTCGGTTTCTCAAAATAACATTAGGAACACTACCTTTAGTAGGTTCCACAGGCTTGGAAACTGGGCGTCTCAGGTTCTTAATTTGCGACACTCTTGGCTTATCATCCACTTCAAATTTAACTCCTTTCTTTGGCACCGGTCGAACCAAGTTCAAACCATTCAATGACCTAGATGACTGAACTTCCTTGGGCCCATCAAAAGTTAACTCCTTTTCTTCGATGGTCCGAACTTCCTTGGCCCCATCAAAAGGTACCTCCTTTATCTCAACAATTTTACCCTTGTTCTTGTAAAAACTTTTCTCAATATCCATATAACTAGCTTCTGGGTTTGCTTTTCTACCCAATATCTACAATACAAAACAACAACATTCTCAAATAAAACTATATTCCAATAGAACCACTATGCATTCATAACACACACACACACACACACACACACACACACACACACACACATATACATACATATAAACAGAGAACTAGCTTCTGGATTTGCCTTTTCTACTCAAAATCTATAATTTAAAAATAATAACATCTTAAAGAAACTAAAAAGTTTATCTACCAATTCTGACAAGTTCATATGCAACTTTTATCAAACAACTGGTGTGAAATAACAAGCACAACACACACATACCTTGGCAATCGTAAGTTTGGGGTCCTCCCCAATCAAGCGGCCGAACTTGAGCTCCATTTGGTTCAAAGGGTCAAGCTTCGGTTCTTCCCTAGAACTAAAAACAACGCATTTCTTGTTCCTCGAAGGGAAAATTTGGGTTGTGGAAGAAAGTGAAGGAAGAAGACAAGTGTGAGTGAGAAAGAAAGGGGTGGTGTTGGTGGCGAGGGAAAGAGAGAAACTGTCCATTTATAGAGAGAGATAGAGAGAGTGCCAAGGTAAGGTTTTGGAGATTTTTGGGAAGGACAAGGATCCTCTCCGGAGGAACCGGATCCATCCTGACCGAGGTTGAACCTCTGAGCAAATCACACGGGCTATTGAGAACTTTTAGACAGTTAAGATCAAATTTCAACTGCCAATGTGATTTGCCCATGAGGGAGGGGATTTGGTTCCTCTTAGATTCTTTTTGTAGGGGGCTCGGAGATCAATTAATCGTGTTCATTCATCCTACATCGTGTGGCCAGTTTTTGTTAGGTACTATTTATATTCAATTTTAAATTAAAAATTTAAAATGATTTTTAACCGCACGATGTACGATGAGCGGACACGATTGATTGATCCTCCGGATCCTTTTTATGAGGATCCGGAGAGGACCCTATTCCTTTGGGGAACGAACAAGTTTTATTATTCGCCGGAGAGCGCGAAGCGTGTAATTTTACAATTTTTTATGGGAAGTCAAATGACATTGCCGCAAGTGGTTCTCTACCACAGTGGTAGAGAGGAGTGTCATTCTTGCACTATGATGTGGATTTGAACTCTGTTGGCCTCCTAATCTAACACTTGATCTAACACATCTATCATTTGACAAAATAAAAGTCACATTTGTAGATACAAATTCCCACCATCTCTTCCTTTGACAAAAATGCACCTGCAAACCAATAAAACCTAAGATTAAGGCAAAAGGCCTCACACACCCATGATGAATGGGGGCTTCGACCGAAGAATCTCCGATGTTAAAGTTAGAATTCTGAAAATAATGTATTTAAGAGTTTGTGGATAGCAAATGGCTTATCATTTTAGTAGTATAAGTGAGGTATATATAGGAGGTTGGTCGGCCCCTTTGGGTGAAGAGTGGTCGGCCATGTTTGGTGATAATGTGTGAATAATTGCAAGATATTAGGTGAAATAATATTTTGCAATTAACATGGAAATTATTCCTAATTTAAATAGGAAGTTTTAGGAGTTATATTTTGAATAAAAACAACAAAGGAATTATCTTTTGAATAAAATCAATAAGGGATTGATGAGGAGTGATGGTGGAATATGAAATAAATTTCATATTAGAGAAATTTTTCATTATGACTAGAACAAGGGTGGTACACCATGTGTTTTTATATAAATAGTGAAAATTTTTATTTTTTAAGTTATTAACTTTTAACACATATTCCACCATTTATATAATAACAAATTGTGTACTACCCCGGAGCCAGCCGATAAAGGACTAGTCACATTGAAAAATCTCTATCCATATTGATCACCTTTGACTCTTCCTTGATTGAACCGTTATTATCTGTTGCATTCGCGTAGAAATCCCAATGTGCGGCGAGAGTAATTTCATTTTTTTAACCCAAAAGTTCATGTGTTGCTTTCATAATTTTTTAAATAATTTTTAGCTCCACAACATTGCTGTTAAAAAATTTGTGAGATATTTAGAGACATTGCCATTAAAGAAAAAGGTAATGCTTCGGTGAATTTCAGTGTAATATCAATTGTAAAAGAAGGTTATCTACCACAGACTTAAGGTTAGTTTGGTATTGTTGTGCTTTTTTAAAAAAAAAAAAACCGCTTCCGTTGTGCTGTAAAAATAATCAGGTGCAAAATAAAGTAGTTAAGTGTTTGGTAAACTTTTATTGTAAAAGTGCTTTTAACAAAAAAAACAATGTTCAAGTGTTTGGTAAATTTTATGTAAAACTGCTATGATTTTGTTAAATGACTAAAAAGTATAATATTAAATGTGATATAATAATTTATTTTATATTTTATTTATAATTTCATCTTCAATCTTCATCATTTTCGGGTCATAGCTCAAGATCCAAATCCCTCCCTTGCAACCCTCTGTTCTCTCCCCTTCCCAATCACCAAAATCTCCGGCGGATTTCACAGCTCAAGATCCAAATCCCTCCCCTCTAACCTTCTGTTCTCTCCTCTTCCCAATCACCAAAATCGCCGATCCTCGAGAGAGAGATTCGAATCCGTAGCTAATGGATGTAGACGAAGGGGGAAGCAAACGAGTCTTTCACAGACTATGGGCAGCAATTCGACCTGTCAAAGAACCATAAGGTATGCTACCATTGGAGGGCGGGTAAGTGCAATCACCATCCTTGCCTTTTTCTCTACAGAGAGTTCTCGGCGTCGTCGTCACAACAAGGTCTTAATGGGACAGCCTCAACTAAATGCCATCATGCCTTCGTCGCTAACACTAACGGTCCATCGTCCTCGAATCGGGGTCCAAATAACTTCAATGGAAGGGCTTCTTCGAAGTGGGGTGCTGAAGAAGAAATTGTTGTTCGAATTCGGGTACTTCGGGCTCAAGACGATGAATTCGACCTGGGTTTCCACGAGCTGTCTCTGTGTGTCAGTGAATAGAGCTTTCTAAATTCGCCAGAGCTTTCTGAATTCAATCGTGTTAGTGAAATAGAGCTCTCTGAATTCAACCTTGGTGCTATCTGAATTCGACCTTGGTAATCAACAATCATTCCTTCATCCCATATATCTTCAGCTTGCATCAAGTGCTAGACTCGACTCGCTGAGGGACCTCGTCCTTTCGAACAATCGGATTCGATGATTTGATATGATGATGGAAATAAGAAGGAGAAAGAGGGCATAATTGGGTTTAAGAAAGTTTCATTAAACTTTATTGTTCATCCGCCCACTTTGTAAAAAAGTTGGTTTTGAGAAGCAGTAAAATGCTGCTTCCATGTTTCTGCTTATTTTGGTTGGAACTTTGAAAAGAAGCACTTATTTTTACATTTACCAAACACATTTTACACCCCAAATTTTTTTCATAGCTGTTTTTTTTTTTTTTTAATAATTTTAGCTGTGCCAAATTGGTACTTAATGAGCCCCTTAAAAGAAAAAGGTAATGCTTCGGTGAATTTCAGTGTAATATCAATTGTAAAAGAAGGTTATCTACCACAGACTTAATGAACCCCTTAAAAATACAAATTTACCTGGACATAGTAATTACATGGTAAATAACAATTTTTGATCACATATAAATCTCGGGACGTGGTCAATTAGTGATCCACAACGGCTTTAGTGCGTGATTTTTTTTTCAATCAACCACATGCTGTGAACGTGGTTACGTAGAATTTGACCGTGGACATCGCTCGGGGGTAGAAATTGAGACCTTTTAATACATCTAAATACACCACTAGCCCTTGCAATTTGCCAGTGGTAGATGAATTGCTAGTCAATATTATTTTTTAACATGTTGTAAACTTTCCTAGTTTAAGTGTGATTGTGTAAATCCTATATTAGATTTGATTCTAGTTATCCTTTCCTATTACAACTTGTATTCCTTGGGGATGAGGAATTTCTTCTCCCATTTTACTACTATAAATAAAGGCACTATGTAGGAGGGATAACACACATTCCCCTACAATTCTATAAACACATCTCTCTCAATCTCCCTTCTTCTTGCCGTCAGCCCCCTTCCCATTGTTAGATAAAATAGGCTACAACACGTTATTAGCATGCTCCTATCACTACGCTTAGGAATTTGACGAGGATATTTTCTACATCAAACCAATTCATCCATATCATCATGCAATCAGGTTCTTTCAAAATAACGGTTTTTATCTCGACATTTTTGCAGCCCTGATAGCATGAACATTCACTATAATGCATGACCTAACTTTACGTTTTTAGAGTTTTAGATTCTACATAAATTGTGTATGAATTATATTCATAATTGTTGAATTATGTGAATTTGATATTTGCCATGAATTGCATCAAATATATGTACATGCATTAAAATTATTGAATTGCATATGCATCAATTTGAATTATATATGAATTGAATTGAGAAAAAAAAATTGGAATTGGGAAACAATGGGGTTTTTTAAACCTCTGACCTGGCACCGTGCAAGTCGCCAGCACCAGGCCACCAGCCTGTGAAGGCCTGGCAAACCAAGCCCAATATTAAAACCCAGGCCGCAAGCCTGAACCGAAAACGGTGCGTTTGAAACACCTTGTCCTGACCCACGACATGAAGCCCAGGTCCTCCTCATTGATTTTTCGATGAAACACAGCCGATAGTTGTGTAAATTGGACAAAACCTATTGTTTTCACCAACGATTTCTTCAAATTCCAGAAGAATTTCATGGGTTTTTCATTCGAATCAGCTGAATTCCTTCGGTTCCCCCTCCCTTAACGTTGAGATTTCATCTCCGCTGACAAATAATAGGTTCTCCAATGAACCATAGCTTGCACCGACCATGGAAACGTCACCTGAAGCGACGTCATCAACTGAATCTGGCGGATCCCCACACCTGGCGCCACTAGGGTATTTTGGAAATCACACTCGAGCCCTAGCGGGCTTCAATTTGCTTTTTGTCCATTCGTATAGCACCCAGGATGTTGGGCCTTGCTTGTGCCATTGGTTTTTTTATCCACATCACCAGGTCGTTGGGCTTTGGTGATTATCTGGCCCACAAACGCAGTCGAGCCCACTGGGCTCCTACCGTCTCCCATGCGCCGCATCACAGGTGAGTCGTGCCCTTTACGAGCCTTCCTTTTATTTTTTTGGGCTTGCGCATCTAGCCTAATTACCTTGTGATGCAAGGGCCTGCATGCTTGCTTGACTCAAGACCAACCCAACCCATTCTTGGGCCTGGGATGCACGACACCCATTTTATTAAGCCACCCATGGTCTTAGGCCTTCTTTTGGGCCACGAGTTTATTTGCCTAATTACTTTAGGCCCAATGGTTTTATATTTTTCACCCACACTTTAAAATTTGGCCTAAAGTCCAAATAATTAATTCAACTATAATTGTAGACCTGAAGTTCTATTTGCATA